CATGAATCTTGGAGCTTCTAAATTTGGATTGGCTTCTATGAAGGTTAGTGATTCTTTCATTGGCATTGATTCATGATTGGATCGAACTCCCTGTTTAAATCAAGAAGGATTGGTTGTTCTTGATTCTGGCAAAGAAGTCGGCAGGGTTGTAGAAGGTAAGAATCTGAGGTTGAATGTTGAAAAGAAATCAGATAATTGGAATGAGGTGGGTAATGCTTGGACGAAGCCGAGACATATTAATATTGATTGGAACAGTGAAACTACTGAACTATCGGATGATGGGGTAGCTGTCTTACTAAATTCGGAGAAGGAAGAGAAGAACAAACATGTTCTAAGGAACTCGGTGGTGATCAAAGTTTTGGGCAACAATGTTCCTTTCCCAATGTGCAGTCTGGAATTGAGAAAACAGTGGAGCAGGTATGTAGCTTTTCACTTAACATCAATCGGGATGGACTGGATCCTTTGTTCCTTCAAGACAGAGGAAGTTGTGGAGGAGGTTATTAATGGTGGACCTTGGTTTGTTGGAGGTCATATAGTCGGAATGGATAGGTGGACCACTGAGTTTGATCCTTATTCTTTTAAATGGATCACTGCTCCCATTTGGATCCATCTCCTCTGTCTGGCGCTGTATTGCTGGGATGATGACAACATTGCAATAATTGCGTCTCAAATTGGAACGCCGAAGTATTTTGATGGTAATACCTTCCGTTGGGGGAAGAGGGAGTTTGCTCGAATATGTGTTAAAATGGATTTAGAGAATAAGCTACCAAACGGTGTTTGGGTAGAAGGAGCTGCGGGCAGGTTTTTCCAACGGGTAGAGTATGAAAAGGTTGATTTACTCTGTTATAAATGTGGTCGTGTTGGCCATAATCAGAATGGAAGTCCTGTTGAAGTTGCGCAGGGGATTTCAGATCAAACCACGGTTGATAATCAGGAAGTTGCTGAAGCAAATTCGGGGTTGATTAAGAAGGAATACTGACCGTGGATACATGTTTAGTTCAGGAAAAACCAATCTGTGAAGTCTTGGGGTGACGGGAGGAAGATGAAAGAAAACAGGACACTTAAGAGGGAGCAATTAGCAATGAAAGAAGATCAGTTGGAAGTAAAGAAAGGAGATAATGTTTCTAACCAGAGCTTAACACATGAAAATTTGCAGTCATTTCCGGTGACTGGTGGACAACAAAAATCTGATATTGAAGTTCAGCCTTTGGAGGTTA